GGGGGGGGGGGGGGGGGAGGAGGAGGAGGAGGAGGAGGAGGAGGAAGGACCCGAATGGCCCACCGAGGAAACCCATGGTTATGAGAAGGAGGTGAACAGGCTGCCGCGACAGCTGAACCGAGGACTGCTAAGCTCCGCTTGCCCCTGTGAGCACCGCGACTCGCGGGAGCCTGAAGGAGGAGGACAGGTGAGCGCAGGCAGGTGCTGATTGGTTTAGCGTCACAAGGCCCCGCCCCTTCGCAGGTGGGGCCCCGGCCGGCGTGCAAAAGCCACAGGAGAAGCTGCGCGTGTCCTCCCTGGTTCGTCCTTCGTGTCGGAGCTGCTCCTGGCAGAGACCTCGGCTCGCCTCGCAGGTTCTGGGTTGCAAGAAGAAAAAACTCCACTCCATTCCTCATCCTCCGCAGCGTAGGAAGATAAACGTTTCTTTGCCTTGTGGCTACGGCGGTGAGGGAAACAGTAGAAACAAATCTGAACCCGGTTTAGAACAGAGGCTGCCCATTCATGCTCCTGGAGGCGTTCTGATGTCCAGAGCTTTGATGGAGGCTGGGCGAGTCCCCCACACCCGGCTACGGGGCAGCCTGCCCTCGGCCTCTCTCCACCTCTCACGCCAGTCCGCCCGGAGGACTCAAGAATTTACTCTGGCCGTGAGGTCCCCAGGGACCGCGTGACAGAATCTGGTACAACTTGCCGGAAAATCGTTACTTCCGTTTCCCCGCTGAACAGATGCGGGATAGGAGAGCAGGCGCTAGTTTGGAAGCCGTAATAGTTCCAAAAGTTTCGAGTTAAGGGAATGGTTATGACTTGAGCCCTATGATCTCCAGTCCCCCATAAATAATGCTTTCTCAACTTTATGTAAAGTGCAAATAATAGCAATTCTTAAAAAACAGTTTTTATTGCTCTGAAGTACTGTATGTAATTGTAATTCTGCTTTTGAACACAGTTCTCCCACACCCTTCCAGGGAGATAGAATGGTTCCCTAGTCACTTTTTCCACTCTGTTAAGACTTCGCTTTCCTTTTCGAGGCATACAAGTCGGCACCAGGCGCAAAACGTCGTGAGGCTCAGTCGCTCAGCCCCACATTCCCTTTCCCCACCAAGGTGAGCTTTCTGAACCTGTCCCAGGGCCTGGTTTCCTTAGCCCGACCCTCCTTCCTCTGCTGCCTCAAGATGTTCCTCCTTCCTCTCCCCTCTCCTCTACCCAGCTCACATTTAAGGGTTTGAAGCGGGGGCTGGACTGTTTTTCAGTTTGTGTTTGTTTTTTCAGGACTGGACACAATCCAGGGCCTTTGCACTGAGCTGCATCCCAACTCTCCTTTTTTTTTTTTTTTTTTTTAAATTTTTATTTTGATACAGGGTCTTGCTAAGTGCCTAAGTTGCCCAGGCTGCTAGCACCAGCTCTGAGCCCTGCACTTCCTGGGCCTCAAACCCAGTCTCTACCACTTACTAATGCTGTGACCTCCGTTCTCCAACTGTCAGTGGCGTTACTAATGACACATCCTAAAAACTACTACACTAGGATTAAGTGAATTAATATATGTAGGGGATATTAAACAAACCAACACTGAAAAAAAAAAACCAACCTAAATTCAGTACCTGGCACAGAGCAAGGGCCCAATGTTTCCTGGTATGATTGCTCTAGGATCGGGCTCATTTGGCTTTCTCAACCTCACCACCGATTCTCTCCTGACTAGCAGTCCCACTCCCTCAAGAGAATGGGAAGCGTTGGAACCGCTCAGTTTCACGGCTGAGGATACAGCAAGGAATTGGTATCTCCTGTCTCTCGCCTTGGGAGCAGTTCTTATCCGGCAGCGCACTGTAGCCCCAAGAGCTGGGTGGGGGATGGGAGGGCGGGAGGTGGACAAAGCCAAGCAAAGCCCTTAAGCAGATGCGGGACTCGGCGCCCCACTCGCCTCGCAGTCCGGCTGGGTGAGAGGCGGGGTCCCATGCCCAAGGGGAGGTTAATGCCAGAGCTCAGGCGATGCAGGATGGCACAGGTCCAGGCGGGACAGGGTGGCCCGGCCTATGCTCTCCTCGCAGGATCCCCCGCGCCGGCACGGAGCCAGACGAAGCCATTAAGCGGACAGTTAAACACAAATGAGCCTCGGGATATAGGCCCTAATTAAGTAAACACCCGGCTGGAGGGTTGAGCAGCGCGCTCATTTCCGCCTCCGTCTTCCCGGGCACTTAGCACACCGGGCGGCCACGCGGCCTGGCAGAGAGAGGAGGGAGAAATGGAGAGTCTGCTCCTCTGCCTGCGACTTGGTCCTCAGCGCTCGCTCCTCTGAAGCTCCCCTAGTCAGTCGTTCCCTCATTCATTAATTTAACTGAATGAATTTCTGTTAAATCTGCTCACAGCCTGCCAGGTACCAAGCACAGGGGATATAATGGTGAACAAAGCAAACATCCTTGCACTCATGGACTTGTGTTCCCTAAGTGGAGAGTAGGATGAAGTAAGAGTAAGTACAGTAAATATGCAATGCGTTAGATGCTTATATGTCTATGTGAAAGAACAAAGGCGGAAGAGAAAGTGCAGGTTCATTAGCAGGAAGGTAGGGTTGGAAATCAGGTCTAATAGGAACAGCATCCCACCAGTGGTTCAAGTCTTCACGGGAGGACAAGAAAACAGCAGAGTTCAGAGAGCCAACAGGGATGTTGAGGCACCAAAGACCAAACAGCTGGGGATTTAGCTCAGTGGTTCTGCCAACTGCCTCGCAAGTGCAAGGTCCCGAGTTCGATCCCTGGTACCCAAAACAAAACAAAAAACCCAGCAACGGCAGAAAGGCATTGCTACTTTGAGACTGAAGAGTGAAGAGAGGAAATGGCATCATCAGAAGTCCAAGGATGGGTGCACAGGGAATGGAAGCACCCTCCTCTGATTCAGTTGTAGTTCAGTACTGGATATCCAGGGAGGGTGCAGGGAAACAATACCCAGCATCTCTCTTCTGCCTTTCCGCTCCTTATGTGCATCCACCAAACCACCCACGAACTAGAAGGCTAGAAAGTGAAGGCAACGGATTCTGTGAGGTTATTCTCCCCAGGCACAGGACAGAATTTTCTTCTGCAGTGCTGGGCATCGTACCCAGAGCCTCATGCATGCCCGGCAAGTGCTGGACACTGAGCTGCACTCTCCTCCTACCTGGTCTCCCTGGATAAGGGTGGGGAAGCACCAAGAAAGCCCAGAGCGCTCTCCTTACGGAAAGGATACTTGAACAAAGACCCCAAGAAGCAATGGAACAAGTTACAGCTAAGAATTCACGGGACAGGTTTCCAGCAGAGAAAACTTGACAAAGGCCTGGGGCAACAGATTATAAGGAACTGCAAAAAAAGAAAAAAAAAATGCCCCTGTGATTGGAGTAGCGAGCATGTAGGAAATGAGTCAGAGTTTGGGAGGGTGGGGAGCAAAGCTTGTAGCACCCCATAGGTCATTGTTAGAACCTTGGCTTGTACTTTGAGTGGGAGAGGAGGAAGCCACTGTGGGGTTGGAGTGGACAAGTGTTGAGAACAGGCTTCAGGGAACCAGAGCAGAAATGGGCAGGTCTGCTGCACTCTGTCTAATCAATCATGTAAACAATGGAATGGCTTGGTTAGGGTTGGTCCTTGTGAGGAGGGCAAGAAGTGATCAGATTTAAAAACAAACAAACAAACAGGGCGGGGGATTCAGCTCAGTGGCACCACACCTGCCTCACTAGTTCGCAAGTGCAAGGTCCAGAGTTCGATCCCCGGTATGAAAAATAAAATAAATAAATAAATAAATAAATAAATAAAAACAAAATAGCAAGTGTGGATGAGGGTGTGGAGAAACGGATCCTTGTGCATTGTTGAGAATGTAAAAACAGTACCGCGGTTCATAGGAAAGTTTAAAATAGAATTACCACACACTTGTATTCACATACAGAATGACGACACTGCACCCTATAAATATGTGCAATGACTTTGTGTTAATTAAAATAAATAATAAAATGATAGGGTCATCATATGATCCAGCAATTCTACTTCTGCCTGTATACCCAAGAAAAATGAAAGCAGGGCTATCCTTGAAATTGCGGCAATTCTCCTGCCTCAGCATCCTGAGTGCAGAGGTACAAGTGTATGGTACCACGCCAGGGAATAATGGCATTATTCATATTAGCTGAAATGAAGGAGCAACTCAAATGTCCATCAATACATGAATAAATAAGCAAAATGATTAATAGACACAGTTTCACTGTTGCAAGATGAAAGTGTTCTGTGGATGGTTGCTGGCATAGTAACATGACAATGTGAAAGTCATTAAGGCCACCAAATTTTATACTTAGTAATGGCTAGGCATGCCAGGCATGGAGGTGCAGTTGTAATACTGGTTATTCAGTGGGCGGTGGTAGGAGGATGGGAGATTCGAGGCCAGCAAGGAAAATTTAGCAAGACCTTGTTTCAAAATTTTTTCTTTTTATTTATTTATTTATTTATTTTATTTATTTTTTTTTTTTTTGTGGCACCAGGGGTCGAACTTGGGACCTTGTGCTTGCAAGGCAGACATCAGAACCAAATCCCCAGCCCCTCAAAATAAAATTTTGTAAAAAGGCTGGGGATGTAACTTAGTAGTGGAGTGCTTACCTAGCATGCATATTGCCCTGGGTTCAATCCCAGTACCAAAATAGAAATGGTTAGAATGGCAATTTTATGTGATTTTTAACCACCATGTT